CGTGGGGCAACGATTTATGTGTGCATGGAGATAGGTTTTTGGTAATATTTGTGACGAGTTTTCCCTATGAATGTATTATGTATGTTTTGTTGGCTTATCCCAATAGAGGGTTTGATGCTAAGGGAGAACAAAGTTATGATGTTTGGGGGTTTGCTTGCAAATATATGTTGTAAGGGTGAGGTGATAATCATATACAATATATTTAGGTTTTAGTGAAGTATAACAAATCAATGATTGGATTTAGATGATTTAAGTGATGTAATGTATGAATTAGGGTATGTTCACAAGAGTATGTGAGGTTTGAATGCATGCATGATGTATTGGGTATGTTTTCTCATGCTTTACGGTTGTTGCATGTATGTTTGCAAACTTGAATTTTGTCTAGGATGTGTTTTGATTCGACAATAATCAATTATCACTAATTATAATTGATTGTCTACGTGTTGGTTGTGTGTTTTGTCTTGAGAATAATCAATTATCTGGGATGATAATCGATTATCCTCTCATGTGTGACGAATCTGAGAATTTTTCACTAAGATAATATATTATCTTAAGTGATAATCGATTATCATAGTGTATTTTGTGTAAACATGAATCTTCTCGAGAATAATAGATTATCACTTATGATAATCAATTACCCGAGTGTATTTTTATTGGAAAAGTACATTTTGATGAAGAATGGACGTGGACCAAGCTTGAGAAGTTGTTCAACGTGATGATAATCAGATAATGGGATTAATGGTTATGTTTAGGGTCAAGTTTGACTTGTGGTTGAGGTTGGAGCATGAGTGAGTGTTGGGGTGTACCTGAGTATGTGGTTGACGAGCATGATAGTGGAGGATAAGTCTAGTTGTTGTACTTAGTAAATCTTGGTTCTATCTGCAGATAGATGCTTCCTTTGGCATTAGTTGTTGAAAAGGGAGGGATATTTTCCTTGTCCTTGTGTGGCAGGATTACATGTTCCTTAGCTGGATTGCGGGACTACTCGAGCAGATATGTAGGAAAGGCTACATATGTCTTGTAGGGGAGGTTATAGGTGGGTTGTAGGAGCGGCTAAAGTCAGTGAGGTAGGGCACAAGAGTGAGATAAACTCTTTCCACTATGGTGTTTATGATACAATGATGCTCATAGTGTGATTCATGATTGGAATAATCATGATGGTGGTGTATTTATGATGATGATCATGGTGAAGATGTTTTAGGTTATGCTATTTGATTGTGGTTTTAATATAAAGGTTATAGTAAGTAGTTAGCATATGTGCTAATGAGTGGATAGACTAAGGGTCTATGTGTGAGATGTTAGTGATGACATCAAGGGTTAAAGATCAAGGATCGGGGATCAAAGTTTGAGGATCAAGTAATTCATTATGATTGAATTCTTTATGTTAAAGGATTAAGAATCCTATTGTTATTACTACTATGTATGAGGTGTTTGATTATTGTTGATATAATCAATATGTTTATATCTTGTTTTTATGATTGTTTTGTCGATAGCTTACCCCATACGTGTTTATGTTTTTGTGTTTGTGAATGATATTATCGGCGATGATCGTATAATGTGTTATAAGTGAGCAGATGATATTGCAAATATAATAAAGGCATGATAGATTCGTGAGATGACGGTGAAAGATTTGAGTTTCTTTAAAAAGTTCTTTTAGTATAGACTTTTGAAACAATGCAATTGTAGTTATTTTATTTCCTTAGTCATTCTAATTACTTTTGGTATAATATAATTGGACAAGACTTTTAGAACTACTATGTTTTGAATAAATTATGCATGTTTAAAAGTTAAGGTTTTTAAAAAATACGTATCTACGCTATAAGAAAGTTTATAAATATTCAATTTTTGTAAACCTGTAGCATCTTAGAATTAGGGGCGTTACATCCTACACCTGGAAGTAATCCTTAAATTGTTTCAAAAGCACTAATTGCATGCAATTTTTTTCTAAATGTTCATATAGGCAACAACAAGTTCAAGGCAAGGTGTAGAAATGGATAAACACAAAGTATAGGAAGTCATGTAATGACCAGTATTGGAAAACGTTAAGTAGTTGAGAGGGGTCCTTGGACTAATAAGTTATTTTAGAAAATTTATTAAATCTTATGAACTAAATGTTATCCCTTGACTAACTTTTTTGAAAAGGATAAATTCTTATGGCGATAAATGTTATATCAATGAATGTTATACCAATGAAGCCTTCTCCATGCTCAAGCATGCTATTAGAACTTTCTAAATTTTTCAAAACCATTGAAGGAACAAATGCCTCTAGGGTGGGTATAGGTGTTATTTATAGTTAACAACATCATATTGCTTATTTTTTCAAAAAACTTAATCCTCGAATGCATAACCAATCAACCTATACCAATAATCTAAGGGACATAATCTGGTGTATAAAATTTTGTTGGAGTTCACAATGCATTGTTGGGTGGACACTCTAGTTTCACTAGAACATTGTAGAGAATTGTATTTTAATTTTACTAGTATGGTATGCAAAAAGACATCAAAGATTTTTTGAAAATATTTCCACTTGCCACTAGACCAAGCATGATACAACACTACCATAAGGATTGCTCAATCCATTGCCAATTCCAGCTCAAATATGGAAAGATGTGGTCTTCGTCATTGGCCTCCCTTCTTTGAATGAATATATTGACATTATGGTGATAAGGACCTAGAAAATAGTTTAAGAGTAGTAGTGGTTTTAATGATGACACTCAATTATTTTATTCACAAAAAGTTCAACTATAAATAAATTTGACATTAATTGAATTTCATTTTATAAAATTCATCATCTTTGTAGAAATTTTTTCTAGAACTCCATCCACCTGCTCTCTAACATCTAAGCCCTTTTTCATCTATTTGACAATCAGAGAGTACTAGTAATTTTAGGACGAAGTGGTCCACAATCCTCCCATCAAAATATTAAAATAGAGTAAGTTCATCTTTTTGGTCTTTTAAAAAATATGTTTTGAGATTTCATGTGGTGTTTAAGGATTCAAGATGAATCTTTATTTTTGTTAGAATTATTAGGTTTTGATCATTGATCGAGTTTTCTATGTATAGGTAGTGCAACTTGTGTGAGATAGAATCTATGTGAAACATTTTCTTAGTTAGAAGTATTTATTTAGGTAAGGGAAGCTATTTTTACTAGTGTGATGTGAGTTGTATGATGATGTATTGTGATAAATTATTGTGTGAAATTTAATTTGAAACGATGTCTCTACATGAGTGAAATCTTAAATTAGTGTTTAATATGTGATCTAAGATTTCTACAATTCTCTCATTTCTCTTTACTTTTCACAAATAATTCCAAAACACCACTTTCACATCTCTTCTTCTCAGATCCACTTCAAAAGAAACACAAGCTTAAAAGCAAAAACACTGCTTCTCTTAAAAGAACGGTCAAAAGGCAAATCTCAAGCTTAAGTTTCTTATTTTGCTTTCTAAAAAGACATTGCGTAACTAGCTTTTTGTATTTTTACTATAAACTAAATATACAGCCGAAATGAACGTAAAGAATACGTCTTCATTGGCCCAAATACCTAACAATAACAAATAACCGAAACCGGAGAATATAATTAACAAAGGACACTTTTGTTTTGTACCTTAATTTAACCTCTTAAATAAAAAATAAACTTCAACTTTATGTCTAATCATACCAAGTATCAAATTCACTAAAAATCTCACCTTAACCTATATTTTATTTCGCTGTACAGCATATTTTACCTATAATAAATCTTTACAATTGAATTGCATGTTCAAAAAGTTTACAATAATATAAAACATCATCTTCTTAGCATAAATTATGTGCAAAGTGATAAATTTAAAACTTAAACTTGGAGAGATATCTCTGTCAACATGATACAAAATTTAGAAGCAAAAAACTATTTTTCTAGTTTAAAAATTAATTTTTAGCAATAACCAAATAAAATATTAATTAAAATTGAGTTTATAAAATCTTTAATTGAGAATACAAATTATTAAAGTATCTTGAAAGTGAGACAATAAAAAGAAATCCATAAAAAAAAATTAAGATATAATGTGATAATAAAAATAATCTAATCCAATGATTAAATTAATAACATTAATTAAATTGAAGTGAAAAATCATGGAGGAAACGAATTTGGCGTAAGAAATGGATCACATTCATACACGAAAAGACACTCTTTTCTACTCCCTCTTTGTACCTCGATTTCAGTTTCCTGTTCCCACCATCTATTTATTATATTATCTTTGTTTTGACCTTTATTTTTGTTTTATTATTTTCATTGTTTCTAGAACCCAATTCAATGCATACTTGGCTCTTGTTTACACGTTAAACACTCTTTCTCTCCTCGTCAATGTTTTGAAGTTTTGACTTCATACTTAAATTATAGAATTAAATTGATATTTTAAATTTATGAAAACCATTGTGCTGTTTTCTACATAACACTTTTTTCCACATTAATTACATATATTTACTGATTTATCATAATACATAATTAAGGATGTACAAGGAAGAAAAAGTAAAATAATTGTAAAATGAGAATAAAGAGAAGAGTGGTGATTTCTTGATACCAATTTTTTTTTCTTTTTTTCTTTTATATTTCCACTGTACAACCATATAAATTAGTATTTTATGATAATATAATAATTGTATAGTAAATGTTTTTAAGAAATGATGGAGTCAAAGATATATTTTTTCTACACAGATATATATTTTTTATGGAAAACGTCAAAATTATATGAAAGATAGTTGAATCCTAGAAAGACAAGGTTTTGCTTTGTGAAGTGACACGTGGCGTATGATGATGATAACGTGATATTCGGTTCACCAACTAACCATGCAGCAGAGTCAACAGTGGAAGAATGTTCAGAATCTTCTTATTATTTCTCCCTCTCTGCTGTGATTCATTCTGAAAGCACTTCCTTTTTCGTTTTCGCTTTTTTTCGCAAGGCAAATTCTGCATATTCTGTATCTTTTTCCCTTTAGTCTTCTAATTCTATAGTTTATTGTTTGCTAGAATTGAAAACTGAATCTGCATGATGAATTAGCTCACCACTTTCAAAGAGACTCATTCCGTTTTCAATTGCCTAACATGATTTTCATGTATCTATTGCCGTGTTTCCTTTCATCTCCAATGTGTTTTTCCATTTCCAAACGTGGTTTTAACTAGTCAAAGCTTTTTGTGTCTTCCAAAACACATTTTTGTCAATTGATATTGATGGTGTGAGAAACTGTGATGATTTGTTCGTTTGTGAAGAACCAAAATACTCTTGAGGTTTATAACTTAGCGCATCGAAATTTTCACGTTTGTTGCTTCTTGGAGTAATTTTTAACGTTTTCACATACAGTTCTGCTTATCTTTGTTGATGGAACAGCCTAAAGGGGGTTCTGAAACCAGTTCGGGGTACCAGATAATGGTATTGTTTTTTCTGGCAATGTTTAGTCTATTATACCTCCTTTCGTCTGGAAAAAATATTAGATAATCGCCGATCATCATAGTCTCAATCAACTGAGTTGGAATTTTTTAATATAACGGAAGTTATTGACGGTAACTGAAGTTGCATTTTGTTTTAAAATTCTCTTTTTGAAGGTAGAACTATTCGCTGGTAAGGATCTTGTTGGTACAAAATTAATAGGCAATCCAGATCCTTATGCTGTCATCACGTGTGGCGATGACGAAAACAGATTCAGGTTTGTTCATCCAGATTCCTCCCTTCTTCATTTGAATTTCTCTCCAAAAAATGATGGAGCCAGAGCATATTCTTTTATATTTTCAAGAATTTTCTTGAGTCAGAGCATATTCCCCTTCACCACATCTATGAGCTACCCGTCTCTTAAGGTACTCTTTCCAGTAATGTATATGGCTTAAACAAAACATAAACTATTTAATTGAAGTTGTGGATGTAGATGACAGGTTTTTGCTTGTCAAATGTTTCAATCTTTACTAGAAAGACCTCTGTATTAGGACTTTTCTTTTCTTTTCTTTTAAGAAACTGCTACATAGGAAAAGACACTTTCCAATTTTTATTTTTGGGTATAACTGTGTTTCCTATTTGTTTGTGCCGTTGTCTTTAAGGCTTAAAGTTCTTTACTGCAATCAACACTTAGTTTTCTTACTTTCTTTGGCAAGGAAATTTAGTTAGTTTCTAGTCTTATATAGGTGAATGACATTGCAAAGATTTTGTACTGTCAGAAATGATAAAAAGGGATATGCTCTGTCTCTCTGTTAGAAGCGCGGCCGCTCACTGAAAATATCCGTTTTCCATACTTAACTTATATTTACTTAGACAAAAAACATTTTGCTCGACATTGCCCATAGGGCCCCCATAAGTTGATATTATGTGTGCTGTCGCAGTTCCATAATCCGTGGTTCAAGAAATCCAGTGTGGGGGGAGGATTTCAATTTTTATGTTCATGAACTTCCCGTCCAGGTAGCTTATTATCATCTATGTTCTTTTATTTCGAGTAATTACATCAATGTTAGGTTCAGTTCTTATCTTAGCAGAGTGATACTGATGTTTAAGCTATTCACACCGTCTAGACCAAGATTTCTTTTTCTATAACTTATTTCAAAGGAGATACTTAGTATTCTTGGATTGATATTTACGAAGGAGTATCAGCTTCTCAATTGACCGATTAAATCTGTTCTTAAGATTTTCGTTAAACTGACTTCTTTCCCCGCTGACGTAGCAGATCAATGTAGCAATTTATGACTGGAAAAGCTATGCTGTAAGTGTCCCTCTTGGTTCAGTGACTGTTCCAGTTGAAAGTGAAGGTTCAACTGGTGCATGGTGGCATACTTTGGGAAGTCCATCAGGGCAGGTGGTACCATTGTTATTGTCTTTTAGTTCTAATAGTTTTTTATGTCAGCAAAGTACTATTGTTAATATATAACTGAATGTCAGATTACTTTTCGAATAAAAACACAAGCTTCTGGAAATGGTTCCAGGTGAGGCTTTTGGCTTTATGTTTGTTTTAAAAAATGTGTATTATGTTGGTCCTAGATACTTGGGTGGTGTATTATCATCATATATTGGTTTATTTCTTAAAGTTATTAGTTGACTTGAGTGATAGGATAAATGGTTATGGAGGAGGTAACCCTCAAACAAGGATGCCACCCCTGGAAACACATGGGCTCACTGTTGTCCATCAAAAGCCCGGGCCTCTTCAAACTATATTTGGTCTTCATCCGAACGAGGTTACTGACAAAAATTTAACTTGTTTGTTTCTTGTTGGCGATTACCCGTGGTTTTTCTTCTGTTCAGATATGCAAAAAATAAAAAGATGACTGTATACACTGTCCTTTTGTATGATTGTGTTTGCAGATCTGACAAGTGAAGCATATTTTTCAGGTTGTTGATCATGAACATACTTGTGCACTAGATACATTATTCTTGTACCATGGTCGTATGTATATCTCAGCAAGGCACATTTGTTTCTCTTCCACTGTATTTAAAATGAAGGTCAGACTATGCTCCTGTTTTTGTAGTGAACACTGTGACTTTGTTGGTTGCGAAGAAAGGACTAGAGAGAAATAAAGAGAAATGGGTGAAAAATTGGTAAAAGGAAATTTTTTAGTTGAAGTGAAACAGAGTACACAGAGCAAACGTGAATGGAAAGTATAAAGGTGTGTGTAAATTTGGTTTGAAAGAAAAGAAAAAAAGAGGAACTATAATAATTTTTAATGAATTTGTTTCCGGGTTGTTTTGAATTTTTCATATACTATTTTTGTCAATTTAAAACACCATAATCGATTAAGATTGGTAATGGGACACGAGTGTATAATAAAATCGATTTTTCTAGATAGTGGGAGGCTAATCATAGATGCAGAGAGTAGAATAAAATCAATTTTCTCTCGAAATGGCATCTTGCTAATAATTGAATTACCAGTTCATCTTTCCTCGCATTTCTGATCAAATGCACTATGAAAATCTTCAGAGTAGTCCCACCGAAATTTCATCATATCTCTACACAACCAAATCCCCATTTTCTTCTCCATTCTTTACTTTTCTTTCTTTTCTAACCCAGCTTATACTCAACCAAACAAAATGTATAGCTTGCGTTGTTTCTTGTACGACNATTCGATTTTTGTAAACCTGTGGCATCTTAGAATTAGGGGCGTTACATCCTACACCTGGAAGTAATCCTTAAATTGTTTCTAAAGCACTAATTGCATGCAATTTTTTTCTAAATGTTCATATAGGCGACAACAAGTTCAAGGCAAGGTGTAGAAATGGATAAACACAAAGTATAGGAAGTCTTGTAATGACCAGTATTGGAAAACGTTAAGTAGTTGAGAGGGGTCCTTGGACTAATAAGTTATTTTAGAAAATTTATTAAATCTTATGAACTAAATGTTATCCCTTGACTAACTTTTTTGAAAAGGATAAATTCTTATGGCGATAAATGTTATATCAATGAATGTTATACCAATGAAGCCTTCTCCATGCTCAAGCATGCTATTAGAACTTTCTAAATTTTTCAAAACCATTGAAGGAACAAATGCCTCTAGGGTGGGTATAGGTGTTATTTATAGTTAACAACATCTTATTGCTTATTTTTTCAAAAAGCTTAATCCTCGAATGCATAACCAATCAACCTATACCAATAATCTAAGGGACATAATCTGGTGTATAAAATTTTGTTGGAGTTCACAATGCATTGTTGGGTGGACACTCTAGTTTCACTAGAACATTGTAGAGAATTGTATTTTAATTTTACTAGTATGGTATGCAAAAAGACATCAAAGATTTTTTGAAAATATTTCCACTTGCCACTAGACCAAGCATGATACAACACTACCATATGGATTGCTCAATCCATTGCCAATTCCAGCTCAAATATGGAAAGATGTGGTCTTCGTCATTGGCCTCCCTTCTTTGAATGAATATATTGTCATTCTGGTGATAAGGACCTAGAAAATAGTTTAAGAGTAGTAGTGGTTTTAATGATGACACTCAATTATTTTATTCACAAAAAGTTCAACTATAAATAAATTTGGCATTAATTGAATTTCATTTTATAAAATTCATCATCTTTGTAGAAATTTTTTCTAGAACTCCATCCACCTGCTCTCTAACATCTAAGCCCTTTTTCATCTATTTGACAATCAGAGAGTACTAGTAATTTTAGGACGAAGTGGTCCACAATCCTCCCATCAAAATATTAAAATAGAGTAAGTTCATCTTTTTGGTCTTTTAAAAAATGTGTTTTGGGATTTCATGTGGTGTTTAAGGATTCAAGATGAATCTTTATTTTTGTTAGAATTATTAGGTTTTGATCATTGATCGAGTTTTCTATGTATAGGTAGTGCAACTTGTGTGAGATAGAATCTATGTGAAACATTTTCTTAGTTAGAAGTATTTATTTAGGTAAGGGAAGCTATTTTTACTAGTGTGATGTGAGTTGTATGATGATGTATTGTGATAAATTATTGTGTGAAATTTAATTTGAAACGATGTCTCTACATGAGTGAAATCTTAAATTAGTGTTTAATATGTGATCTAAGATTTCTACAATTCTCTCATTTCTCTTTACTTTTCACAAATAATTCCAAAACACCACTTTCACATCTCTTCTTCTCAGATCCACTTCAAAAGAAACACAAGCTTAAAAGCAAAAACACTGCTTCTCTTAAAAGAACGGTCAAAAGGCAAATCTCAAGCTTAAGTTTCTTATTTTGCTTTCTAAAAAGACATTGCGTAACTAGCTTTTTGTATTTTTACTATAAACTAAATATACAGCCGAAATGAACGTAAAGAATACGTCTTCATTGGCCCAAATACCTAACAATAACAAATAACCGAAACCGGAGAATATAATTAACAAAGGACACTTTTGTTTTGTACCTTAATTTAACCTCTTAAATAAAAAATAAACTTCAACTTTATGTCTAATCATACCAAGTATCAAATTCACTAAAAATCTCACCTTAACCTATATTTTATTTCGCTGTACAGCATATTTTACCTATAATAAATCTTTACAATTGAATTGCATGTTCAAAAAGTTTACAATAATATAAAACATCATCTTCTTAGCATAAATTATGTGCAAAGTGATAAATTTAAAACTTAAACTTGGAGAGATATCTCTGTCAACATGATACAAAATTTAGAAGCAAAAAACTATTTTTCTAGTTTAAAAATTAATTTTTAGCAATAACCAAATAAAATATTAATTAAAATTGAGTTTATAAAATCTTTAATTGAGAATACAAATTATTAAAGTATCTTGAAAGTGAGACAATAAAAAGAAATCCATAAAAAAAAATTAAGATATAATGTGATAATAAAAATAATCTAATCCAATGATTAAATTAATAACATTAATTATATTGAAGTGAAAAATCATGGAGGAAAAGAATTTGGCGTAAGAAATGGATCACATTCATACACGAAAAGACACTCTTTTCTACTCCCTCTTTGTACCTCGATTTCAGTTTCCTGTTCCCACCATCTATTTATTATATTATCTTTGTTTTGACCTTTATTTTTGTTTTATTATTTTCATTGTTTCTAGAACCCAATTCAATGCATACATGGCTCTTGTTTACACGTTAAACACTCTTTATCTCCTCGTCAATGTTTTGAAGTTTTGACTTTATACTTAAATTATATAATTAAATTGATATTTTAAATTTATGAAAACCATGGTGTTGTTTTCTACATAACACTTTTTTCCACATTAATTACATATATTTACTGATTTATCATAATACATAATTAAGGATGTACAAGGAAGAAAAAGTAAAATAATTGTAAAATGAGAATAAAGAGAAGAGTGGTGATTTCTTGATACCAATTTTTTTTTCTTTTTTTCTTTTATATTTCCACTGTACAACCATATAAATTAGTATTTTATGATAATATAATAATTGTATAGTAAATGTTTTTAAGAAATGATGGAGTCAAAGATATATTTTTTCTACACAGATATATATTTTTTATGGAAAACGTCAAAATTATATGAAAGATAGTTGAATCCTAGAAAGACAAGGTTTTGCTTTGTGAAGTGACACGTGGCGTATGATGATGATAACGTGATATTCGGTTCACCAACTAACCATGCAGCAGAGTCAACAGTGGAAGAAAGATCAGAATCTTCTTATTATTTCTCCCTCTCTGCTGTGATTCATTCTGAAAGCACTTCCTTTTTCGTTTTCGCTTTTTATCACAAGGCAAATTCTGCATATTCTGTATCTTTTTCCCTTTAGTCTTCAAATTCTATAGTTTATTGTTTGCTAGAATTGAAAACTGAATCTGCATGATGAATTAGCTCACCACTTTCAAAGAGACTCATTCCGTTTTCAATTGCCTAACATGATTTTCATGTATCTATTGCCGTGTTTCCTTTCATCTCCAATGTGTTTTTCCATTTCCAAACGTGGTTTTAACTAGTCAAAGCTTTTTGTGTCTTCCAAAACACATTTTTGTCAATTGATATTGATGGTGTGAGAAACTGTGATGATTTGTTCGTTTGTGAAGAACCAAAATACTCTTGAGGTTTATAACTTAGCGCATCGAAATTTTCACGTTTGTTGCTTCTTGGAGTAATTTTTAACGTTTTCACATACAGTTCTGCTTATCTTTGTTGATGGAACAGCCTAAAGGGGGTTCTGAAACCAGTTCGGGGTACCAGATAATGGTATTGTTTTTTCTGGCAATGTTTAGTCTATTATACCTCCTTTCGTCTGGAAAAAATATTAGATAATCGCCGATCATCATAGTCTCAATCAACTGAGTTGGAATTTTTTAATATAACGGAAGTTATTGACGGTAACTGAAGTTGCATTTTGTTTTAAAATTCTCTTTTTGAAGGTAGAACTATTCGCTGGTAAGGATCTTGTTGGTACAAAATTAATAGGCAATCCAGATCCTTATGCTGTCATCACGTGTGGCGATGACGAAAACAGATTCAGGTTTGTTCATCCAGATTCCTCCCTTCTTCATTTGAATTTCTCTCCAAAAAATGATGGAGCCAGAGCATATTCTTTTATATTTTCAAGAATTTTCTTGAGTCAGAGCATATTCCCCTTCACCACATCTATGAGCTACCCGTCTCTTAAGGTACTCTTTCCAGTAATGTATATGGCTTAAACAAAACATAAACTATTTAATTGAAGTTGTGGATGTAGATGACAGGTTTTTGCTTGTCAAATGTTTCAATCTTTACTAGAAAGACCTCTGTATTAGGACTTTTCTTTTCTTTTCTTTTAAGAAACTGCTACATAGGAAAAGACACTTTCCAATTTTTATTTTTGGGTATAACTGTGTTTCCTATTTGTTTGTGCCGTTGTCTTTAAGGCTTAAAGTTCTTTACTGCAATCAACACTTAGTTTTCTTACTTTCTTTGGCAAGGAAATTTAGTTAGTTTCTAGTCTTATATAGGTGAATGACATTGCAAAGATTTTGTACTGTCAGAAATGATAAAAAGGGATATGCTCTGTCTCTCTGTTAGAAGCGCGGCCGCTCACTGAAAATATCCGTTTTCCATACTTAACTTATATTTACTTAGACAAAAAACATTTTGCTCGACATTGCCCATAGGGCCCCCATAAGTTGATATTATGTGTGCTGTCGCAGTTCCATAATCCGTGGTTCAAGAAATCCAGTGTGGGGGGAGGATTTCAATTTTTATGTTCATGAACTTCCCGTCCAGGTAGCTTATTATCATCTATGTTCTTTTATTTCGAGTAATTACATCAATGTTAGGTTCAGTTCTTATCTTAGCAGAGTGATACTGATGTTTAAGCTATTCACACCGTCTAGACCAAGATTTCTTTTTCTATAACTTATTTCAAAGGAGATACTTAGTATTCTTGGATTGATATTTACGAAGGAGTATCAGCTTCTCAATTGACCGATTAAATCTGTTCTTAAGATTTTCGTTAAACTGACTTCTTTCCCCGCTGACGTAGCAGATCAATGTAGCAATTTATGACTGGAAAAGCTATGCTGTAAGTGTCCCTCTTGGTTCAGTGACTGTTCCAGTTGAAAGTGAAGGTTCAACTGGTGCATGGTGGCATACTTTGGGAAGTCCATCAGGGCAGGTGGTACCATTGTTATTGTCTTTTAGTTCTAATAGTTTTTTATGTCAGCAAAGTACTATTGTTAATATATAACTGAATGTCAGATTACTTTTCGAATAAAAACACAAGCTTCTGGAAATGGTTCCAGGTGAGGCTTTTGGCTTTATGTTTGTTTTAAAAAATGTGTATTATGTTGGTCCTAGATACTTGGGTGGTGTATTATCATCATATATTGGTTTATTTCTTAAAGTTATTAGTTGACTTGAGTGATAGGATAAATGGTTATGGAGGAGGTAACCCTCAAACAAGGATGCCACCCCTGGAAACACATGGGCTCACTGTTGTCCATCAAAAGCCAGGGCCTCTTCAAACTATATTTGGTCTTCATCCGAACGAGGTTACTGACAAAAATTTAACTTGTTTGTTTCTTGTTGGCGATTACCCGTGGTTTTTCTTCTGTTCAGATATGCAAAAAATAAAAAGATGACTGTATACACTGTCCTTTTGTATGATTGTGTTTGCAGATCTGACAAGTGAAGCATATTTTTCAGGTTGTTGATCATGAACATACTTGTGCACTAGATACATTATTCTTGTACCATGGTCGTATGTATATCTCAGCAAGGCACATTTGTTTCTCTTCCACTGTATTTAAAATGAAGGTCAGACTATGCTCCTGTTTTTGTAGTGAACACTGTGACTTTGTTGGTTGCGAAGAAAGGACTAGAGAGAAATAAAGAGAAATGGGTGAAAAATTGGTAAAAGGAAATTTTTTAGTTGAAGTGAAACAGAGTACACAGAGCAAACGTGAATGGAAAGTATAAAGGTGTGTGTAAATTTGGTTTGAAAGAAAAGAAAAAAAGAGGAACTATAATAATTTTTAATGAATTTGTTTCCGGGTTGTTTTGAATTTTTCATATACTATTTTTGTCAATTTAAAACACCATAATCGATTAAGATTGGTAATGGGACACGAGTGTATAATAAAATCGATTTTTCTAGATAGTGGGAGGCTAATCATAGATGCAGAGAGTAGAATAAAATCAATTTTCTCTCGAAATGGCATCTTGCTAATAATTGAATTACCAGTTAATCTTTCCTCGCATTTCTGATCAAATGCACTATGAAAATCTTCAGAGTAGTCCCACCGAAATTTCATCATATCTCTACACAACCAAATCCCCATTTTCTTCTCCATTCTTTACTTTTCTTTCTTTTCTAACCCAGCTTATACTCAACCAAACAAAATGTATAGCTTGCGTTGTTTCTTGTACGACTGATCTATCACTGATGTCAGCTGTTTTAATTTTAAGAGATATTGATAAAAATTAGGAGTTGGAGTAATTTAGATTTCATCTTAGGTTTCGGTTTTGCAAAAACAGTTATAGGATTTTGTTTTGCCTGAACTTCATTTGCTGAAATTGTTAATTTATATGAATTTAGAAAGAAGAAAAGCCCTTTCTTATGAACACTAAAAATCTGTTTGCTCTGTGGTGTCTTCTTTTTTTATTACTTATCGCATAATTTCTTATGGGTTATTTGGCAGGTGGTTATTCCATTTGAAGATATAGGCAAGGTACAATCTCTATTGCTTTTTCTTCCCCTCTGACCTAAATATTTCAGTCAAATCAAATTTACATGTGCTGCAAGTATTTTCCTTTTTCTTAAGATTCAAACGAGTGAACATTTCCTGATCAATCCTGCGATAGCAATTGTTCTTCGCCCGGGAGCTGGTGGACGTGGTGTCCCTCCTTTAAAAAGTCGTGATGATGGTTAGTAATTAGTTTGAAACATGTTCTTATTTATTTTCTAGGAGGAAATTTTAATTACACTTTTTATGATTCAATTTAATACTTATCCAGATTTTTTCATTAAAAGATTCAATCAAATTAAACTTAAGGGATAGCATCAACTTGCTTCCGCTTTTTGTGTGTGGAGCTGTGGTTCTACTTGTTTTCTACATATCAAAGTGACATTTGCAGCACGGATTTTTTTTTTTTCGTTTCATACTGGCTTTCATGTTTTCATAAACACTGGCATCATACTGTATTGCCGGGTCTCATTTTTATAAAAATATATTAGAGATACTGATCTGGATGTTGTTCTGAAGGTTGGAAATATTTTTTATAGAGATTAAAAATAAGCATTACATTACCACAGATGATGGTGGCCTTTGTCATAATGTTTCAGCTGCCACGTATATGTTTGCATCATTTGGGGACAGGGATCGTGTGCTAAAGGATCTACAGCGTGCACAAAAGAACTTCAATGAAATCTTGGAAGTTGAAAAGGTTAAAAACATTTGCTTAATCAATTTAGTTTTTGTTCTCTGTATTATACTTAATTGCTTGGTTATCTTTCTTAGTAGCTAGAATTAATGATAGATTTTAACAACTTCATAGATGGTACATATTTTTTTGACAATATATACTGTTGCCTTTTTTCCCCATCAACTGTTATATTCTGTATTTTACCCTCTGTAATGCTCACCTATCACATTTGGGTAGCCAGAAATATATCTTTATGCAATTATGTATTGTTGGAACATGTTCTGAAAGTGATATATGTGTTGAGAGAGAACATAAGGCATTAGATGAATTGCTTGTTCCTAATGTTCACAGCAAAGACTCTTGTTTACGATGAATCATAACGGACAAATCCAACCTATAACTGTCATGCTAATTTACATAATCACTTCCAGCAAATAATATCACTCAAGATCATGCTTTATATCTGATTCTTTTTCTTTCCTTTTTAATTTTTCTTTTCATTTTTACCCTGGCATTTCTGGATAAATAGAGAATTTGAAGCGTTTTAGTTTTTGTAACCAATCATCATGTAGGAAAATGCAGTTCCAGAGCTGTGTGCACATAGCAGTTCTGTCAGAGGAAGTAAGATACTGGATAAGGCTCCTGTGGTAAAGCATGCCAAAAACCGGAAAGATTCAACCTTTTATCCAAGGAATGTATGCATCGTTTCTTCCCCTTTTTTTTTAATGTTTTCTAGTTTAACTATCAGCTTAATTATTAGTGATCCTTCTACAGGAAGTTATTCCTGGGGTAGCTGAGCTGTTTTCTAACTTGTTCATTGATGGTCCAAATTTCCCTGGAAAGAATAATTGAGCACGCTAATTTTGTGGTAAGTTTTCTTCAATTACTAGTCATTCTTGAGAAAAGATTTCCTTTCTTTAAAGGAGTGTCCAAAGCCTTATGAGTCTACATTGATCATGATCATATCTCTAATTGATGTAAGAAGTAAACCTTCTAAACACTCAATTCATTTTAAATAGAAAATGATATTGAATGTAATAATTTGCATTGATCATGTATTGTTTAAATACAAGTAGTAATGTACACTTAAGATCCTATAATTATGGTAATACAGACAAAAACTTTCCTAAATAGATGCTAATGAATAATTATAATAATTACTGTAATATTACACCATAAAAGAAAATTAATATTATGAATGGCCAAAATCAAGAGTCATAAATGATAAGATAATTGATAGAATATTTGATTGTGTTTAACTCCCCTCTCAAACTGGTGGTGACATGGTTATGCCAAGTTTGTCTCTTAGCAAGTAATCTGGTTTAAGTTCTGTCAGCAGAGATCTAATCCAAGCTACTTCAAAAGCAAGATCAGCCAAGGCTATGTATTCTGATTTTCTGTTTGATCGTGACACTACCTTTTGTTTTCTTGAAGACTAAGAGTTTCTCTAATAAACACACATTGTCCTAGCATGGATTTTCTGTCATCAGTAGTTGCCCAATCTGCATTAGAATACCCAATTATGTCAAGATCATTTGAATGTTTTATGTGCAAACATAGGTTCATTGTACCTTGAACATATCTTAGTATTCTTTTTATTCCTAGCTAGTGATCCATGGTAGGTGTGCTCATGTATTGACTGAGTTTGTTGATAGCAAAAGCAATGTCTGGCTTTATGTTGGTCAAATATTGCAATGTACTTATGGCTTATCTATACAAAGTAGCATTATTCATTGGTTCCCCTTTTGTAGTGAATTGTCTACCCGCCACCATTAGTTTTGGAAAAACAGATACTGACTCCATGTTGAACTTTTTCATAATATCTTTTATGTACTTAGTTTGCCTTAGGTACATTCCATTGTTATTCCTTTGTACTTCAATGCTAATACAATAGTGTATATATCCTAAGTCTTTTAGTGAGAATACAACATTCAATTGATTGATGAATGTTTCTAAATATTGGCAGTTGCTTCCTGTTACAATAATGTCATCAACATAAATGAGAAGGAACGTGGTATGATTTGTACCTCTAAGAATGAATAGAAAAGAATCACTTTTGGTGTTTTGAAAACCCAAATTCAGAAGTGTGTCTCTTAGTCTATCAAACCAAGCCTTTGGTGCCTGCTTCAAACCATATATGGCCTTAGACAATCTACACATATGATTCAGTTTGGTTGAGTCTATGTAGCCTTCAGGTTGATGCATAAAAATTGTTTCCTTCAAATTTCCATTTAGGAAGGCATTGTTTATGTCAAATTGCCTAACATCCCAATTGAAATGTACTGTAATGGCTAATATGATTCTGACAGAGCTGGACTTGACCACAAGACTGAAAGTTTCATCAAAGTTTATGCCTGTTGTTTGTTGGAAACCTCTTGCAACAAGTATTGCTTTTCTTCTTTCGATTAAACCATTTGATTTATACTTGGTTTTGAAGACCCATTTTAAGTCTATGATGTTTTCTTGACCCTTGAATGGTATTAATGTCCAAGTTTGATTAGACACTAGAGCCTTGAATTTTGCATCCATGGCTTCTTTCCATTCTGGCTTGATTAGAGCTTCCTTGACATTTCTTGGTTCTTTATCATCTTCATGAACCCTTGTCAATCCTATGTATGGTTGCTTAGACTTGTAAATTCCAGCTTTGCTTTTGGTCACCATCCAATGAGTGTTGGTGTTAGGTTGATTGTTTTCAGTTTTACTGTTGTTCTATATTGTCGAACCTTCTTCTTGACTTTCTCTTGATGTATTAGTAAAAGATTCACCAAGATCTCATTCATTTGTACCATTGTTGGCAGGACTATCACTTATGATTTCTTCCTGATGACTTATAGTATTCTTGTTTAGTTCAAGAGTATTGTTGATAGTGGTACCTACAGAGTAATTTGGAAGCAAGCAAAATTGACATAGGTTCAGTTAATTCTTTTAAAGAATTTCTTATATCAATGAAACCTTCATGAAAAGGGTAGTGATTCTCATTGAAAATCACATGTCTTGAGATGAAAATTCTCTCATGATAGTTAATGCATTTGTATCCTTTGTGTGAATTAATGTAACCAAGAAACACACACCTAGTTGTATGAAACTGGAGTTTATTTTGATTGTATGGTTTAAGACAAGGATAACAGGCACAACCCAAAGGTTTCAAGTTTCCAAAGTCCGGTTCATTCTTGTAAATCAGGGATTATGGACTTTTGTTTGGATTTATTGATGATGGTAGTCTGTTGATTAGATAAACAACAGTTGAGAAGGCTTCCCACCAATAATGTATGGGCATTTTGGCTTGTACTAACAGAGTTAGGCCAAGTTTAGCAATATGTATGTATTTTCTCTCAGTCCTGCCATTTTGTTGAGAGGTGTAGGGACAAGACATTCTAAAAACAATTCCTGATTCTATAAACATGTCTGCAATTGGCGCCACACTTTTCTAGTCAGTCCCTTTCTAGGTAGCCTTTGCAAAACATTTGTGGAATTGACTGAAGTTAAGGCTGATTTCCATCATCCCCTCATGCCTAGGCTTTTGTCTGGAGTGTGGCTAGGGATGGCAACGGGTCGGGTCGGGCACGGATAGTGTCTACCCGCAACCCGATTCGACAAAAAAAAAATTCACCCGCTACCCGCACGGATATCCGTTTAAAAAATATCCGCGGGTATTTTAAAACCCGCGGATATCCGCAAATACCCGCAAATGTTAAAAAAAAAATATTTTAATAAATTATTAAAATAAAATTTAAATGGAATTACAAAAAATATATAAAATATAATATAAATTAAATTAAATTTAAATTTAAATTCAATTTTAATTAAATTTAATCTTGTAAAATATAAATTAATGTTAATTTTAATTAAATTTAACTTAATAAAAAATAAATTAAATTTTTATTTTTTGTGAGTAGCGGGTATCCGCGGGTACGGATAGTATAATATCCGTACCCGACCCGTTTATAAGCGGGTATTAAAATATTCGCTACCCGCGGGTTGCGAGTAGTAAATATCCGCGGGTATCAACTATCCGTCGCGGATTTTATCCGCGGGCGCGGATTTTTTTGCCATCCCTAAGTGTGACGATGTAATTGACTCAATAAATTTAGGATAGACTCTATCATTTTTTAATTTGGCCTTAGGATTTAATTCAACTCCCTAAAACAAACTTATAAAGTGATGATTCTCCAGACTTTTTAAGCTCTATATAAGTTATATCTCTAATCAATGTAGAATTAAGCCACTACCCATAAGACTGCAATTAAGGCAGCCCCCAAAGAGGTCTCAACTAGAAAGATTAGAGATGACTGCAATTAAGGCAGTTTTCCAAGAACTACGTTATTTGCAAATTGGCCAGTAGCATACAGCTGATGATTATGATGGTCATCAAGTTCGAGAGACAACCTTGTATTTTTGTAACAGCACATGTTTACCCAAACAACCGTGAGATGAAATAGCAAAGGAGAATATACTGATAATAATTGTATTTTAATGATGATAGGTTTTGTGATCAGTTAACTTCCTTGCCCTTTGCAACTCATGCCCTTTCCTTGTTCTGCCCCCTCCACCCCTCCTAAGTAAAATATCTTCAAATAACTATTGAGGTGTTCTTATGACTTTTCTTAGGTGTTTGAGAAAGTGCAACAGGCCACATGACCTGGATCCTACTCTGAGGTGGGGAATGCTTTAGATATCTTATCTGGATATTCAGCCGTTTTTTTTTCTCTTTTAATATGTTTGTGTTCCTGTAAGCTGATTTGAATCACTGCATATCTATGATTTTTATTATTCATTAGTTTAATAGAGTCACAGATGATATGTGCAGTCAAAAAACTCCTATTGCTTATGGTTGAATGAATATGATTCATTGTCATTGAAGGAACTGCATTTCTTGTAAAAACATATGTGCTCTTGTTATTATAATTTAAAACCTCTCATTAGATAAGCCGTATGGCGATGAATGAACAGTAACTTGATAGTGAAACTTGTTTGATTATCTACAAATAAGTAACTTAATAGTTCTTTTTGTACTAATATTGATTGTTTTCTAATAGATAAGATACTCTATGGCTATGCCTATGACTAATTGCTAATTTATTTTTCTAATAGATTGAATGACTGCATCATGAGAAACCCCTAATTTCTCAATTATTGTTAACATTTTCAAAATTAGTTTTTCTTTCACCGGCTTAGAATTTCTTTCACAAACAGAAAATACATAACTTAATCTAATCATAAAAAATTTTTAAAATTGTTTCAATTTGACTAAAAATATTGTTAAAATTGTTTTAAGTTTACCGATAATAGTCAACATTAAGTCCAGATCATAATAGAACTGAAGTTTATCACTGTCGATGTGTACTGTATAAGATTGTCGTAGTTAGGGACGATAATTTGGATGAATATGATAAATTTTATATCTAAAAGTAATGGATGAAACAAAAAATCCTCCTTGTAATCTTTCGTTTGTAAGATATCATTTGTTAAAGCTATGAGATATATTATTGTTTCGGGTTCGAGGTGAGTAACTTCAAACACCTACGTAACTTTTCCTTTGTTTTCGTCCGATCTTCTAATCCTTGTTTTCGTTCTACCGTACGGGAAGATACCTGTGAAAGATTATCCGATACTTAAGTTAGAAAATTGTTTGTACATAATTCAGAATAATGATATTAAATGCATAGTAAATGCCAGCTACCTTTTATCTTTAACCTGTATTTATATTTTTTGGCATGAGCTTGAGATTAGTGAAACCTTAATTTCGGTCCAATCTCAGTCAAATACCCCTAATTACCATTTACCTTAATCCTTGCATAGAAAACTTGTTTATCGAAACTTGACCGAACTTTCGGTCTTATCTGGTGGTTCCGCCACATTTCCTTGCTACTTAGCTATTTTCTGTTCTCCAGAACCGTCCGGTTTGCTTAGTGTGGGATATTATTATGTATGGTCGTCTGGTCCATACGGTATAATTATTTTAAATTTTAATCCATTACTTCCTTCTTGACATCAAAGAGCATAGAAAGATACTCATTGTTAAAACTTTTGATATTGTTAATGTATCTCAAAATAAACTATGCATATCATAAATTATAAGAGCAGTAAAACCAATTAATAAGTTAAAGCAAAAAGTTTAGACGAGATCCTATATAGTTTTTTATAGTTTTCTTGAAAATGACCATTGTAACTTAAATTGGTAATCTGGATTTTGTGAGTTCTCCGTGTAAGCTTTAAAGTGTATTTTTATCTTTAACATCTTTAGCCTCTTAAAAAGAAACTTACATAATTTCTATTTAAGAAAACAATTTAAATAATAAATGCAGTTAAATATAATCACACAATTTCATTTGTTTCTTGAAATATATGTTCATGAGACCATTGCTTCGTAAAATATTTTAAAGATATAAACTTCTTCATGACTTAATTTTATCTAGAAAAATATGTAATCATTAGAACTTACTTATAATTATATTAATATAACAAATTAGACAAGGACCATCATACTGTCTACTAAAGACAAAAACATACATTTTTTGTATACTCCTTAGTTGTCTTCAACTTTCACACACACACACACACAAAAAACACACATTAGAAAGTTAAAATTATACTCATATCCCTTAATTAAAATATTTGTTATCTTCAGAATTAGACCATATAGTGAAATTTTAGAAATTGAACCGTTTAAGGTCTCAATACTTGATTGGCTAAAATTACTTAAAAAATAAAAGTCTTTAGTGATTACAATCAATTAAAAGTATGTTTTAATAGGATGAAACAAAATGAACCTCAAATCTTAAAAAACTTGAATAAGTTTAATAAACTAAAATCAAGTTTTATTATGTATTAGTTCCAAATCCATTAAGATTAACACTATAGGTCATTGAAAATTAATTTTAAACCACAACTAATTTAGTTTTTATAAGAAAATTTGTAGCACTTCTTAATTTAATCAAAATCAATTAACATTAAAGCATTTAAACACATGATTACAACTCAAACACTAATCAAGCAATAAGATTAACTCATCAGCTCAATCTTCAACAACAAAACTATATTGCAGGACACATCAATTCTCCTTCAATCGTCTGCTTGAATATTTCAAATTCAACAATTTGCCATGATCCTCTACTTTAATATATATGATTTTTTTTCTTGTAAGATATTCTGGAAACAGTGCTAATAATTGATATAACTTGATTTTTCTTTAAGGAAACACGTCAATTTTATAATTAAAAATGATTTTTGATGGTTAGGTGTATAATTAATACTAAATTAACACTGCCATCAAATTTACTTGTTAAGTAATTATTAAAATTATACAAATTTCAGAGAGAGAAAAAAAACTATTTTTACCTCTTGTAAAATGGAGATGCTTGCAATGCCAGGATATTGAAATCTTTTTCAAGATTTTTTTTAAAATATTGCAATTTGAGTAGGCAAGGCTCACTTTCAAATGCATACACCAACCCAAGACCTCATGGGAGAGGCTATAGGTCACTTGACTTCAACAAAAGTGAACATCAATTTCAATCTCTCTTTTTTTTTTTTTTTAATTTTACTTTCGAAAACGACTTTCTCCCAATTTGTATAATTTTCAACAAGAGAAGGAACAAAAATAACATAAAAGTGCACACAAGACATTATTAATTTACTAAAAATGCCCATCAATCAAGCACAAATGGTCGAACTGTCGGTACACGACAGTTACAAGGACACTTCTATTGTAACATAATTCAACCTCTAATTATGATCGCACTTTTTTTCTTCAAAATCCAACTTTATGTTAACTTGAACAAGTATAAAATTTAATAAAGCTCACTTTCATCAAAGTTCATGTTTAAAGTAGCATTCATTCTAAAAACAAATTTCCAATTTAAAAATTATTTTATATCGGATGGATCTTTCGAATAAATTAAGTTTACGAATCTTCTTTCTTCAAGATTGTCATTCATACTCAATTTAAAATTTAGATTAACTTGAACTCAGATTTAAATTCTCAACCATACTAAATATGCCATTTTGGTTTTTAGTATAATGTATTTAAATATAATAAAGTTTCAATATCAGATATCATTATAAAATTTCTCACTATTAGATTCTATGGCTAAATTAACAAAATTTAACAGTACTTGGTACCATCGTCCCAACGTTATTCGTGCCAAATATCAAGACAGCTAACTATATTGTTTTTTAGCTTACACTAAACAGCATTGATAAATGCAGGTCAAAAAGCAGAAATGAAATATGGAAAAAGATATCTAAATCAGGACAGTGAAACATTGACACTATTTCTTTCATCAAATCAAGAAACGACTTTCATTAAGCTAATCAGTACATGGAATCATTATACAACTAGAAATTTTGAAATATACACTTAATAATCAGCACAAGAAATTAAGGAAGCTTAGCCCCATCACCCATTTAAAATCTTAAAGGTGTGGAACAGCTTCATGACTAGAAAGTTCTTTTAATGCTTTAACTATTTTAGCTATTAGGATTCCATCTAGATGTATGATGACAAATTTTCATGCCACTACACTGCTTTAGCAACTTAGCATAGCAACCTTTAGGCTACAATAAAAGTGAGAAACTTTGTCAAAGAAATTGAGACACATCATTCTCCAATTTAGGTGAAGTTGTAGTTTTAATGGGAGCCCAGATATCTGCACCATTGCTCTCAGCAACTCCAATTGTAAATGACACAGGAACAAGGCATAACCCTCTACTCCTCAGGCTGCATGCTTCCATACCCTGAAATGGCAAAAACTCAATTATAACCACCAATTGAACTGCTTTCATTAATCAAGGTTTCATTCATGATTTGCAAGAAAGTCATGCTACATAGTACTCTCTTGTTCCAAAATTATTGTATTTTTACTCTGCAGTTCTTTTTAAATTGGTTGATTTTGTCAGTTTTCAATGAAATATTACATTTTTACTCTTGGGTTGCTCTCAAATAAGCACATCAAATAAGAATGGTAGAGACAAGGGTTCTTGTGGGTATAATAAATGTTTCATGAATTTGATGCTGAACGCCCCCACAAGAAAATGTGTGACCTCATCCGTTTGCTAATCCATGGTGAGAGTGTTCACGTTATGCTTACCTGCATCTTGGCTGCTGCTGAAGTTTCAAGATATGGAGCACTGAGCAGCTGCCAAAAAAGGAAGAGAAAAAAATTGCATAAGATCAAGGTCTTGTTAAACATGATTTAGAATCTGTAATGTCTTTTTAGGTCCAAACCAAGTATGTATGTTTGCTATATATGAAACCAATTACTAGAATATTAACAGTGATAATTTCAGCATAATGTAGCAAGAATGGCCAAACCTTAACTTGTTTATGAAGGAATCCTATGTATTCATTTGACTCCTTTAGAACAGAAGATGTATCTGTCTGCAGTGAGAAGTAGAGACTCTTTAAGCTCAGAGAAACTAAAGAACAATTCATTCAATCCAAAAACATAACATAACATATCATATAACTCAAATAAGCAGTTCTTAGTTTTATTTCATTCAAGAATGAGCATGACGAGCATCAAATTTATAAGTTGTTATTGCGTCAGGAACTATAGTTGTTGTATACCTTTCCATATGGTGAAACAAGCTGCTGAAGAGCAACAATTCGTTCCCCAATCTTCTCCTTCCTCTCCTATCCACAGAAACATTGGAAATGTTACATGAAAAATCAAAGAAATAAAGAAGAAAGTAAACCTTCAATTTAGAAGAAAATCACATATCCAAATTGAGTATCAAGGAGAGTTCCATGTAACAGGTTGAAATTATGCAGGTTAACATAAGACAGACAGTCCTATTCAAGGTTTGAAATTATGCTATGCATGATAAGAAACACAAATGTAATATGTGGCAATTCATAGATTACAAGCTACGAACAAGAGAGTTTATATAGAGAAGATCAGAAGAGGCACCATTGCATGATCCTAGATGAAAACTTTCAAATAGTAAAGCTTGGATATCTATAAAAATATATAAGTAGATGCTCAAAAGAAAAAAGGAAAATGAAATAGAAGTGTAATTCAGCAGCCAAGAACAACAGAAGGAGAAAAAAAGAAACCTTAGTGCTGATAGATAAATCAGCCTTTTGCCTTTTAGATGCAATAGAAGTATAACTGCTTTGGTCAACAGAGCAGGGACTCCTTTTATGCTCCATCATCTTTCTAACATCTATCCCCTCTTCTCTCTGGTGGCATCAACAATGAAACATCTTGTATAAGAAGGATGAACAAAATGAAAAGAGGAATACAGATTATAAAAGAAACTATCAAATCATCAACACTTTCTCTTACTTGAGTATCATAGTTGTCAGACACACAACTATAGTTCATATTCAACACACACAGTAATTACTACCATATATATTTTAGTTACTTTTATGCTTGAAACATGTTCAACAGAACTTTGGGGAAGCCAAAAGCCACAAATTGAGGAAGTACTGAATACAGATTGGAGTCAATGTGGGTTGGTCCCACTGGTTCCATAGTTACAGTCTTTTGGCCCCTAGTTCAGTATGATTGTCATCCATTCACAGGAGATAAAAAAAAGTTGGGGTAATCTATTGAATGAGCAAACAGTTCTTTGAATAAATCTGCCATCAGCACCCTCTCTGAACTGTAATTTCAGCTGCAACATAAGGTTTTCACTGCAATCAGATCACAACTGCAACTCTGGCTGCCCCAGTTGCATTTTTTCACAACTTCAAAAACCACAACATTTTTTTGTCAAAGAACACAATCAGAATTCAGAACCTTGTCCCTCCATGAAAGAAGTTAGAAAAGCATAAAAAATAAAACTGACAGGAAACAAGGACCAAAGTCAAACTAATGCCTTCATTTGATGAAAGCTTATCAAATTTCAAACACTTCTCCAATAAAGAGGAAATTTTTTCCCTCCCATATGGCAGTGTTTGCTTCTGCTCTAGGGTCCTGCCATGCATACATGTAACACAGAACACATATATAGAGAGAGAGTGCTGTTGAAAAGGAAAAAAAAAACTGTGTGCAATGAAGAGTCTCGTTTTAAGTAGTGAGACAATAAATGAGAAGAAATGATTTCCATCCATAAATATGTATCCTCAAACTTTGCTTGCAAAAAATAATACTGCTAGTTACAAGATTGATTTTTTACATTAATAATACATCATGAACTCATACCAACATGCACTGTTCAGTCAGAACAATGCTGACACTGTACAACAGAACCATTTATTAAATATATGAGATAAGTTCAGAATACAAACTGGTAACAGCTACACCACAACAGAAAATCAAAACGTGGCCCCATAGGCATAGCCATGATGCTACACTACAAAGAAAAGAATTGCCAACAGAAAATGAACCATCCATGCATATTCAAACCACATAAGCCACAATACAAACCTTCCAAAGGTCATCACTGTCACAAACATTGATCACCGTATTCAATGGTTTGGTTTACAACTTTATTAATGGTTCAAATATCTTAATTCCAGAATAGTCTAGTCAACATTGTGAGCTTACATACCATGCCAAAATTATTGTTAAATTATTGATTTTCTTTTGTTTATTTTAATTGTAATCAATAAAAAATTTCTATCTTTGTGATGTGTCCAGAACCTCAAATGTGGGGGGGCCACCATTTGATTTCTGAAAAAGAGATTGTAAGCACACACATACACACGCATTCACACATACATACACCTTGCATGAACGAATCTAACTTGCGTACAAAATCTTCCCAACCACCTTTGTTTAATGTTAAAGGATATCTTAATTGACAACATGCATAAGGACACAGGAGTGATTAATTAATTTCCGGAAAAAGACAATGGTTAATCCAGAGAGAGAATCACAGGGTTGGTTTTGGAGTTGGGGTTTAGTAAATCAAAAATACCAATAAAATATAGGCTCAACCACTCATTTATTACATATGTACTTTCAACAAGAACAATTCTGATCATAATTCTCTCGGAATTGGAGTGCAAGGATTGATGAGGATTAGAGAGGTAGATAAAACACAACAATTTTGATCACAAATTCTAGAAGTTTTCCACCGAAAAACTCATTCACTAATAACTTCCATGAAAAGTGAGAACACGGGATAACACTTGAAAGACAAAAAAGACAAATGGTACTAAATTTAGGTTAAGAACTTACTGAAAACATAGAATCAGCATTGCAGAAAGAGCTGGCTATCATCTATGACCCTTTTGGAGGTAAAAGCAGGAATGGTTGAAACCAAAACCCCTTCCTTAGGCAACTGAAATGGTTAGATGGGTATCTTCCAAAAGTTGCAAAGCTTGAAACTTTAAGCAGTGCCTGTGATTAGAATTTCATTGCAATACTATGGTAAGAAAATTCAAAAACTTAGAAAAAGTAGCATGCAGTGTGGGGAACAGAGGCATATATGGGACAATGAAAGAAGTGAAGTACTGATCCTAGAAAGAAAAACTAGTGGAACCTCATAAATGGAGGAAAAGAAAGTGAAGCTGAGAAAAAAAATACAGAGGCGTGTGTGGCTTGTTGTGGAGAAAGAAGAAGGAGAAGAAGAAGAAGAAGGAGGAACAGGTTAATGTCAAAATGTGATTTTATAAAGCTAGAAAGGAATATAATACAATAATTCCTTACGTAAGATTTTTAAATGTATATTGTCATAAATATACTTGACAGCTAATATCCAACCCAGACAAGTTTTGGTTTTATAATTTTCTTTTTCTCTTTAATCTTTCTACATATAATAAATACAATAAACTGTGCTTAATAGATATAACGGATTTTTTTTAATTGGCTACAATGTTTTTTTTTTTATTTTAAGAAGAAGAGTCACACTACATATTTTTCAAACCATGTCTGTTCATTTCAAAGAAAAAATTATCTGTCTTAAAGAAGAAAATAAAAAATGTGTTTTGCTTAATTACTTTTTTTTCTAATATGTTTAATCTTATTTTTCTACTAATAAGTGGTTAATTTTTTTAATTTTTAAAATGTAACTGTTATCTTTTTGAAGATTTAATAGATTTTTTTAATATAATATTATAAATATTTGTATTGAATTTTGCATATTTCCATTTTTTAAAAATTATAAATTATATATATGTAAATATAAATTATTATTATTATTAATTAGATAATATATGATTATAATTTTAAAAATCAGAAGAGTAAATAAAATGAATAATAATGAACAAATAAATCATTTATTTGGAAATTAAATTAAATTGGTCTACATCAGGAATCCCTACCTTTCCCCAGAAGACAAATATTTGTGACATAACCACCAGTGATCATTTATACATTAAAATAAAAAGTCAGAATTCCATTTTTTTTTTCTTTTTTGCTTTCTTAAGAACAAAAAAATACTCAAGTTTCTATATCTGTTAATAAACTATAAAAATTAAAAAAATTGATTATAATAAATTTATACTTTTTAAAATTTTCTATTTTATTAATAAATACTGATATCTTTCTTACAAAGTTGATGCAGTTTTTCAGTAATTTTAATAAAGACTGTTTTAGTAAAAAAATAATTAATAAGAAAAAAATTATAATATTATAAAAAATTACATACACTTATACTAATTTGAGCATTGGAGGAAATATTATTCTTCAAATATGAAATATGTTAAAGTTAACACTGAAATATTATAATATATTTAAATTTGAGTAAAAATATTAAGAACATTAGCATACATACAAGTAATACTTGGGTCCATAACTCTTGAAGTTTTATCATAAAGGACAGAATATTCTTTAAATTGACATGTTGTATGTGTTTCTATGTCAAGTTTAGAGATAGCATTATATATTATTTACAAAATATAATATTTTAAAAATTATTTAAATTATTATTTGTCTGATAAACAATTATTTTACCATTTACATACATATTCTCAAGCATATAAATTTTTTCAAAAAATATATCTTATTATCAAAAGGAAAAGTTTATTTGCGCTAAGGAGGGTTAATGTCTGTAATTACATTAATGTCTCAAAAGAGCACACTACCAACCAATGTCGCGTAAAAGAAGAACACACTGTACTTAAAGAACATGTCTGTCCTCTTGAAGAATGAAGAAAATTAAACTACTTGATCTACTTCTTAAATTTAGATCTTTCCTATTTCTCATTCAAGTTAAGATTATAATTTTATTATTTTCAAACTATCATATCTTAAAAATTAATTTAATCAATAAGTGTAGATTTTTTTTAACTTGTGTCTATATTTTTACTTAATACAATCTTATATCAATATAACTGATTTTAAAATATATTCCAGAAATATTCTTTAGACCGTTTTAAATCTTAAAATTCAATTATGAATGAGTTTAAACTAAAGTTTTCACACAAGTACAGACTTTTCTCTTACAAAACTAAAAAAATGGATTAAAAAATAGATTTAAGAGAAGAAAACCGCTATTGTTTGTGTATAAAATTTAACTTTAATTTTTTTTATTTTAAAAAAGTATACATGCAGAAAATTTATGGAAATAAATTGTGAGTAATATTTAATTTAAATGTATATATAATTTTTATTTAAATATAGAAAGTCAACTCCTAACCTAATTTTGTTTGTTTCATGATAAAGTAAATAAGAATTGATGAGTGAGTAGGTATTTGAATTCCGAATCTTGATTATATGTACATCTGTGTGTTGTTAGGGAGACCCTCCATATAAGCTACTATTTCTTGCTTCCTCGTAGGAGTATTACCACCCATTCCACATGTAAAATCCACCTCTCATTTCAAAATAAGGATAATCCTAAATTCACTCACTCTTATAGTTCAATGGTTTCATCTTATTTTATGCACTCTTCTGCCACTCATGATTTGATGTTGTCTATTATGATAACTAAATTGTTTAATCTTTATCATAACAATTTAATTTTGTTGAGATAATGGTTAATTTTGTTCTCTATTTTGATATATTACTTTATAAATTTTTAAATTTTGATGTTTTAATTTTAAGTATTTTGAGATTATATATCATCATAATACATCTAAATTATTTAAATTATGCTTCTTCTTTTTTTCATTTTAGGCTAAAAAGTTAGAAGAAAAAGACATTTAAATTACTTTTTACCTTAATCTTTAACTCTTTGTTCACTTGGATGGATTTGGAAGAGAGCGATTGAGTGGATTTCAGAAGATTTGAAGATAAATCTTTTTGTTATTTATTTGAGTGAATTTGGAGGTAAATGAGAGTGAATTTGGAAGCGTAAGAATTAGTGTAAGATTTGATTGATTTGACAGATTAAAAAAAATATTTTTAGATCCTCTCAAATTCACTCAATCACTTTCCCTCAAATCCTCCTCAAATCCATTCAAGTGAACAAATATGTATAATTATAGACATAACAGAATAACTTTTTAATTAAAGTATATTTTTTTTCTTTCAACCCTCTTAAACATATTTTAAAAACAATGTCATAAGTTGTTGTATGATTATAATATTAATATTATTTAAATTATAAATGTTTTTAGTTTCTAAATTTAAACATGAAATTAAAATTTATTTTTATTTTTATTTATTTTAGTTTTAAAAATTTTAAAATGAATTAATATAGTTTTATTTATCCAATTGTATTAAACAAGTTTACATATTAAATGTATTTTTGTTTTACATCATTTTAATATATTTTAATTAAAATATTAATTTAAAACATCATTTAACAAATCTAAAAAAATAATATAACTAAATTAAAACAATTATATTTATTTACTTTACAATTTAAAAAAAAAGTTTATCACAATTTTAAACAAAGACTAATTCTATTTTACATAAGTTTTAGAAGCTAAAAAAATTATTTAACTTATATTATTTTAATAAATTAAAGTGAAACTAAAATTGTATTTATTGTACCAACACAATTTAGATAAAAAAAAAGTAATTAATCTAATAGTTGAATATATTATATATAATCGGTGTTTGTATAAAATACAGAAAACGTGATCATCTATTTCATGTGAAGAATCTTATGTTATCTTCAAGTTTTAATGTAATTAAGCAAGCCAGTATACACTAACAAAATCATATTGTATTAATTCTAATAACTAACATTGACATTTCTAAATTTTCTAGTAAAAACATATAATATTGTAAACTAATTTTATATTAATTGCTTGGTTTAAAGGGAATAATCACTTCCCCATACACTATCTTGGTCGTCATTGTTGTAAGAACTAGTTTCTTAAAAGAATTTTGATTGGATGAAGTTGTTATAGTTTTTAATTAATAAGAGTTCAAAATATATTTTATTTTTATTATGGTGTTACTACAGTGAACCAATAGACACGAGGATGTAAGAGGAAATTAAAAAGCATAGTTTGTTTTGGCGGGAAAGATGGAGTGAGATGGGAGAGCAGTTTTTCAACGTTGGGTACGCTCTTTCCGACATCTGGTCCCACCAGTTTTTTATTTTCTCAGAATAAACCTAATCCGTGACCCTACAATCATCACGCGCGCCATGCCCTCCGTGGTCTGCAAGCGCACGTACACGTGTCATCTCCTAAGTGATTCGCGTGCAAGGTGTTCTCGAACATTGTGAGATGTTATCTAGGACGGTGGGGCCCACTCAACGCCTCTGGTTTCTATGACCGTGCGCCCCAAAAGTCCACCATCAAACCATTTTCGTCATCCTTTGTGGACCCTTTTCTAGTGGGACCCACGCGTTTTTCCTTTAAAAACATCTCAAATAAAATAATAGTTGTCTTTTAATTTTGTCTCAATTTCTTATTTATCATTATGATTACCAGTGGGTTTAGTTTAACAGACCACTTTTTTTCAAATAAAATACAAGTTAAAGATGAGTCTTTTGAAAAAGAGTTACACTTTTTTTTTGGCTTCCAAAGCCAGAGTTTGAAAAAAATAATACAGATTTGTAACTATTTATCATAAAATTATTGGTAATAGGAGTTTATGTCCTTTTATTGTGAGTGAAGTTTTGAAATAAATCATCTTTACAATCAAAATTTAATTCTAATTAATTAGTTGGTTGAAAATTTAATTACACCAATACATAGATGATTAATTTTAGAAAGTTATACTTTTTTTATTATTTATCGTAATAAACAATAAATGAATGAATGAATAAAATAATATTACTATGTACTCTACTTT